GCTCAGCTATGTGCAGATGCACGTGGGCGCTGCGGAGGGTTTTCGGAAAGTCGGCATGCGGGCGCCTTTTGACAAGTCTGGCGATCTGGAGATTTGCCGAGAGGCGGCGCAGCTCTGGGAAGCAGGGGGCCTTCGAGCGAAAGTGGATGCCGCAGTCGCGGAGGTCAGGGAGGAATGCCGTGAGGGGCGCCTCAAGTGGTCATACAATGACGTGACGCGGCTCATGCACGAGTACGAGACGCATAAAGCCTCACATACCGCGTTGAACAATCTCGGAGAGGCAGCGCTTGGCCCGGAGCCAGGACACGAGGAAACCGACGAGGAGGGCGAGGAGGCCGAGGGGAAGGAGGAGGGCGGGGGGGGGGGAGGAGGCCGACTGGGAGGGGGCCATGGCGGAGCACAGCGCTGACGCAGTTGTGGATGATGGGCCTCGAGAGGGGCAGGCGCTTATGGGGTCCGTGGCGGTCGACGCCCATGCGGCCGAGCAGATCGTAGTGGCGACGTCTGTGGCAGAGACGCTTCGCGAGGTGGGAGGTATGCTGCGCAATGTGGGCATGGGGAAAATGGCGCGGCATTGCCGTGCATGACAACGCAAACAGAAGAAGCGACTGCGAGAGCTGGCGCGTGAGGACGACGACTTCCTACGTGCGTTGGCTGCCCAGCGAGACCAGGAGGCCGCGGTTGCGGCGAAACGACGGCGCTTGGCGACGGAAGCGAACAACAGGACGAAGGCGCCCCACGACCTCAAGAAGCATATTCGGGAGGCCGAACATGTTTTGAGGGGGAAGGGGGAGGCCGCAGTTGCGGCGGAGGTGGCCCTGGCTAACAAGCGCGCCCTGGCCCAGTGGAACCCAGATGAGTTCGAGGCCGAGAAGAACAGGATGGCTGCACTGGACCGCCTGGCTTGCGGAAAGGGCGTCCTCTCGGACGAGAGGAGGGGAGGGTGGAGTTGGTTCAAAACGAAATGGGAGGAACAGATGTGCAAGGAACGCAAGGAGCAGTGGCCGCTGATGTTTGCTTGGTGGTTGCAGCGAGTCGCCAGCGACGCAGCGTCTGGGAATCGCTCGGCGTTGTCGCAGTTCGTGCTCTCGGAGACTGCGAGGACCCTGGGCGGGCGAATGGCTCCGGCGATTCCAGCCATAGCCCCTGCAAGCCGCAGTTGCGGACCGGGGGGGGGGGGGGGGTGCGTCGTGAGCCAAACTGAATGCGAAAACCGCAGTTGCGGACTTTCGAGAGGCGTTGTCGCTGCGCGCCCTGCGGACGGATGGCCCCATGTGCGTATCAATGTGCGTGGTGATGTGCCGCCCTTGCCTCCTCGTGTCGTCCGACTCCAACGTGTCATTCTCTCCTCCCATCTCTGGCCATCCACTCCCATGCACCTTGAGGGCACGTCCGTAGACGCCGAGGCTCGAGGCGGCGCTCGCGCTGTCGCTTCCACGTGGCCGCCCGCGCGTCCTGCAGCGGCGTCGCAGGCGGTGCCGCGCCGAACTCGCTTCGCCAACGCGGGGTTCATCCACGTGAACGAAGACGAAGCCGCAGTCGCGGAAAATGACGACGACCAAAGGACGCAAGATGGCGACAATACCGTCGCGCCCTCGGCTGCTGACGAGGCGGAACCACAAGGAGATTCGGAAGCCGCAGTTGCGGAAACCAGCGAGCCCCACATGCCGAAAGTGCTTTCGAAGACGCGGGCCTGGAGGCGGGCGCGCGTCATCGAGACGAGTCGCGCGTCGGAGAAGGAGAGATCTGGTCGCGAGGCCTGGCATGAGAAAACGCAAGGCGAAGCGGGGCGCATCGGCTTCTACGCGGCCAACTTCGGACAGAGCGCAGGGAAGCCCGTGCAACGCAAAGACGAGTTCGCGCAGATCCACGCCAACCCTGCCCAAATCATCGCCCTTTGCGAGCGCGACGACGAGTGCTGGAGGGCAGTCTCTGGGGAGGGCGACGCGCGCGAGAGCGCAGCCGCAGTTGCGGACGAGAAGTTCCAGAATCGACCCCGATTCAACTACTTGTGCGCCATGGGCGGAGAGCCTTCCGGGGCCCTCCTCATTGGCCTCGGAGACCGCAGCGGCGGCCGCATTAATTGCGCGGGCTTTACGGGGCTCTTCTACAAGGCGGAGAAGTCCAGGCCAAGGAGGAACAAGAGAAACGCAGCTGCGGAGCCAAAGTTGCGCAACAAGCACTCGGGCGATGGTTGCGCGCATCGCCCTGGGCGAAGCGGTGCCCCATTCGGGGGGTCCTTCAACGTCATGGCGGCGCGCATCCACCGCAGTTTGGCCAACCAAGACTGGGGCCCGAGGAAACACCGTGAATTCTACGACTGATTCGTCGAGTACGTCCAGAAGTGGAACGTCAGTGTGTGCATGGGGCCCTCAACATGTGCATGTTCCAGCTCGTGTCCTGGCGCCGCAGTCGCGGACCCACGGTGGGCGTCGCTGCGTGGGCCCCCTGGAAGACGACAGGCGGCCTGCAAAGGACAGACAGTATGGCAAGTATGTTCATAAGCTGCCCAGGGAGATACGAGCTTCGTCATGGCCTGGGCGCCGTGCATGACGGCCCTGGCGGATTCTCAAGCAACTACCCTGGCGTCTCTTTCCGCGCCTTCGATTGCACGAGTGGCCCGGGGAAGCAGCTGCAGACTCACTTGCCGATGGCTGGCGCCGTCGCAGACGAGCTTCGCGATTTCGCGAAGCCATCTGGCGCCTCCGAGGCCGCAGTTGCGGATTCCGAGCGAAAGATCGCGGCCGGTGCGCGGGGCGAGCGGGTGCCCCGCCCTTTCCGAGGCAGGCAGGGCAAGCTGGGCGACGCGATCTGGCATGGCTCCGTCGGCAAGGCGCGAAGCGGAGCGCACTCCCCCCTGGTGGCTTTCACCCGCAACGCGGGTCGCAGGTCGCCGGAGAAACTTGCATTGAGGGGCGAACAGGAGAAGAAGCGGCGGCAAGAGAAAGGCGCTGCAAGGGCGGCAAGAAGGGCAGCAATGAGGGGGGCGACGGGGATACCGCAGTTGCGGGAAAGGGCGCTCATATTAACACTGCCCAGAGTGGAACCGCAGTTGCGGGGGGCGCCGCCGAGGCTGAGCGACCTTGGACATCGCAGTGGCCGCAGGCTGCCGACGGACACGAGACGACCACTTCTCATGCCGCAGTGGCCGCTGGGTCTTCTGGCGCCAGCGGAAGCGGCGCGCGGGGGGCGGGGGGTCCCGCGAGGGGATGGAACGCTCAGGAGTCGGAGTGGCGGGCGGGTTGGCGCGCTGATGGGTTGGCGGGCTGGGCGGGGTGGCGCGCTGATGAGCGGGATTGGTGGGATCAGAATCGCGCCGCATTTGCGGACGATGCCGCGGGAGATTCCACGCAGACCCAACGCGCGGGCTACTCGGGGCCGTGGAGCGACCGCGGTCCCTGGATCAACGAATCGAAACGTTGGCAGTGGCCGCAGTTGCGGGCAAGTGCATTGGCCGCAGTTGCGGGCAGGTGCAGCAGAGAGGCTTGCGGCCGCAGTTACGGACAGAGCTTCGTCTGGAAAAGTTGGCAAACCATCAGCAACGTTATCCTCATCTTCGTCATTAATCGCCATCACCATCATCATCCTGCAGCTACTGCCCCCTACGCCGCCTTGTGAGGGGAACCGTCCAAAGCAGTCCCAGGGGACTGCTTTGAAGCGTTCACCGGGAGACGGCTTTGAAGCGACCTCGCGTCCTCATTATATGGGCTTATGGATTATTCGTGTTGTTGCTGCTGTTACCGATGCCGAGGACGACGGCGGCGATGATGCTACTGATGTTGTTGATGATGATGTTGATGATGCTGACGACGATGATGGTGATATTGATGACGATGACGATTGGAATGCTGTTATTGATAGTGATGATGATGTTGAAGGTGCTGGTGATGAGGATGGCGCTGCTAATGGTGTTATGATGATGCGGATGATGATGTTGGTTTTGATGTTGATGTGGATGGTGATGTTGATGCTGATGTTGATGTTGGTGGCGGCGACGATGATGACGATGGTGCTGATGGTGATGCTGACGATGACGATGACGATGCCGATGCTGACGATGATGCTGATGATGATGATGCAGTTGATGATGCTCTTGCTGATGCTGTTGCTGATGGGGCTGGTGGAGTACTTGGTAAAGATGATGACGACGACGACTGTTGCTGGTGATTGTGATGCTGCTCGTGATTCTGAACATACTTATGATGACGATGATGACGCTAGTGATGATGGTGACGCATGTGGTTGTGATCAAGGTGGTCCGTGTGACGATGATGATGGTGGTGATGACGACGACGAGAGCGGTGGCGAGGGGGACGATCATGTACATGTGTTGGAGGAGGGGGAGGGAGTAGGAGGAGAACACAGGATGAGGAGGAGGGATGGGGAGGCACACTCCGGGTTCAGGAGGGAGGCGGATGGATGAGGAGGACGCATGGTGCGGACGATGAGGACGACGATGGCGATTATGTTCTCGATGATGGTGTGGTGATGGTGATGATGTTGATGATGAGGATTATGATGATGATGTTGTTGCTGAAGATGCTGATCATGGTGGTTCTGCTGACGATTACGATGAAGATGGTATGGACGACCCTGCTTATGACGATGATGATGTTGATAATGGTGATACTGATGATGATGATGATGATGATGATGATGATGCTGATGATGCTGATGCTGATGATGATGATGATGATGATGATGATGATGTTGATGGTGTTGTTGCTGAATTTTGGTGATGGTGATGCTGACGATGACAATACTACTACTAATGATGCAAGTGATTATGAAGCGGATCAGGATGACGATGCGGATAAGGATAACCATGATGAGGATGGGAATGATGTTGCGGAGGAGGAGGAGGCGGAGGATGAGGAGGAGGCAAAGGAGGGGGAGAATGAGAGGTGAGGCAAAGGATGAGGAGGAGAAAGAGGAGGACGTGGCTGGTGGAGGGAGGCGGAGGCAAGGAGGCTCCGTCAAACGGCGCCAGCGGCCGCCAGGCAGGAGGGCTACCTCTTCACGAAGTTCCTCAGGGCCGACGCGAAGGCCGCCCAGCCTGGCGGCGGCTCGCGCCCCTCGCCGCGTTCGCTCGACGCCTCCTCGCCTGCCCTTTTTCCTTTTTCCGCCTGCCCCCCTCTCCTCTTCCTCCTCCTCCGCCTCCTCTTCCCCCTTCTCGTCGTCGCCAGACTCTACTCGGCTTTGTCCTCCTCTTCCTTCTCTTTGTGCCATCGTCCTTGTCGTCGTCGTAGTCGTTGTCCCCTCTTCCTCCTCATACGTATTCTCGATCCGTCATCGCCCTCGCCCTCGTCCCCCGCGTCCCCGCGTCCGCCCCCTTCCTTTCTTCGTCCTCTTTGACGTCACCCTTCTCTTCTTCCTCCTCTTTCTCCTCCTCCTCCTCTTCCCCCTCGTCTTCCGCCCCCCCCACCGTCTCCAGCCGTTTGCTCCTCTTCCTCGTCTCCCACCTCGTCCCCCCGTATATTCGGCCCTTCATTCGCAGCAGGCGTGAGCGACGGGGCAGTGTGGTACGGGATCAGGGGAGCAGCAGCAGTAGCAGAGGGAATATGAGGTGGAGGAGGAACAACAAGAGGAGACGGAAAAGGAAGATGCACAAGAGAATGCCAAGGGCAACAGTCAGAGCGAATGGCGCGCGACGTCCAGTTCGCGGAGCTGTTTTCCTCGGCCAGGGAGCTCGACTTCGACCCGCTGCGCAAGCTTGACCAGGGCGAATGCCCCATCACCTGGATCGCGGTGGTCCAGTTCTTGGCCGAGCAGCTCGACGAGTGTCCTCACCGGGCTGCCTTCGTCGCCGGAGACATCCCCATTCTATGCGACAGGCCTAAGATATTCCAGGCGCGAGCAACAGACGCCAGTCAGGTGAAGTCGAGGAGGTCCTTCCAGCAGTGGGCCACCAAGACTTTCAAGCAAGCTCCAGACTTGATTCACCCACGCGCCAAGCAACGGGGCAGCACGGTACAGGCCCCGCAGGACGAGCAGATCCATGGGACCATGGTTTTCGCGGGCCCCACAGTCATCATGGACCGCCGCGCTAACGAATGGGAGGCAACATGGAACGACCCCATAGTGACGGTCGACCATCCTTTGCAGATGGTCGAGATCGTGCGTCGGAGCGCCCACGAGGAGTCGGTCGACCCGCTGTAGCTCGATCAGCTGGACAGCCTCTTCCCCGCCCACAGCGGGAACAAGGCCACGAGCATACACGTCCTGGGCCCCATGTGCACACATCAACACATCCCCATTAAAAAGTTCAACGGCTGCCCGCAGGGCTGTCTCCCCCCCTTCCTCGCCACGAGCCGCAGCACGCGCACAGCATGTTCTATTCGCGTGGGGCGGGCTGCGTAACCGCGGGGGGCTCCCCGTTCCCTTCCCCGCTCCTTCGGCGGCCACGGTGTCCGTTTGGCCCCCTGGACGTTCGATGCCGAACGCGAGCGGGCCCCTCAAATCATATGAGCTCGCGACTGAGGAAGAAGGAAACAGCATCGAGCCGCGACTTGGTAAGCACGAAGCAGCCTATACTTGCGACTTACGAATACAGAAGCAATACGACATCGTGACCCACAAAAGGAAACAGCATGGATTCGCGATTGAGGATTCAGTGTACAGTGTAGAGCTGCAGCGTGGACATGAGGAAACATCATCGAAATGCGGCTCAGCAAGAAGGAATCAGCATCGAACCGCTACCTCGGGAAGCAGGGGGCAGCATCGGATCGCATCTGATGAATGGGGGACAGTAGAATAATGGGAGCAGCTTCGAACCGCAAATCAGGAGCACAGTCGCAATATGGAGTCGCGAATCGGGAGTATGGAGACAGTATGGACTCGCAATTAAGGAAAAAGGACTCAGTGCAGACGCGCGAATTGGGAATGTTGAAACAGTGCAGAATCGCGATTCAGAGATGACAGATATATAGAATCGCGACATTGGAACCAGCAAGCTGTATATAATCGCGGCGCCAGTATAAAGGGAACAGTATAGCGTCGCAACTTGGGAACCAGGCGACAGCATGTAACCGCTACCCTGTAAAACTAATCGGAATCGAGGCATCGGGGAACAGTTTAGAATTGAGACATGCGAAGGAGGAAGCATTGCAGAAACGCGCCCTGGGCATCAGGGAAAAAAGGCATGACACAGGGAATTCGGAATACGGAAACATCGTAAAATCTCGGGGCCTGAACAACGACGCAGCATAGAAGCGCGGGTTATGCATAGTAGAGGATCGCAGCTTTGGAATAGGAAGCCGCAAAATCGGGTTTCGGAATACGGGGGCAATGCAGAGCCGCTACTTAGGAATCGTGAGACACAGCAGAGCCGCGACTCTGGAATCAAGGAACAGTATCGGATCGCGATTTCGGGATAAGGACCCTGCGGGGCACCGCGAAGCAAAAACAGGAGGCAGCATCAGCATAGAACCGCGCTTAGGAAAATGGAAGTAGCACTGAATCGCCAGAATGAGCGAGGGAACGGCGTAGAACCGCGGGATAGAAATATGGAAGCAGCACGGGGCTGCGACGCAGGGGATTTGGCAGCATTCACCAGCGATTTCGGAAGAAGGGAGCAACGAGCATCGCGTTTTACGGCGCAGGAGACAGTCTTGAACCGCGAGTTACGATTTTCGGAAGCAGTAACTAGACTTGCTGCTTCGGAACCAGGAAACAGTGGAGCCGCGAGTCTGGCACGTTGAAACCGTATAGAGCAGCGGCTGCGGCTTAGGAGTATGGAAACAGCACGGAACAGCGACGCGGGGATAAGGAAACCGAGCGGAAGCGTGACTTTCGAATGAAGGGAGCAGTGCCGGATCGCGACGCAGGGCCACGGAAGCAATATTGGATCCCGGCACAGGAATGCGGAAACAGTATAGGAACGTCTTTTGGACGGGAGTCCCGACGTAGGGAACACGTAGCAGAGCATCGGGACTGAGGAAGAAGGAAGCCGTGGAATCGCAGCTCCCGGGTCAGGGAGCACGTTAGAATCGCGAGTGTTGAATCAGGAGTTTCGAGTTGCGCCTCATGAAATTCAATCAGTAGCGAATCGCTGCTGCTTAGGCATGTGTGAACAGTATAGAACCGTGAGTTCGGAATGCGGATTGAGTTCCAGGTCGCCGTTTTGGAATGCGGAGACCATGTAGACTCGCGACTGAGGAAAAGGAAACAGCATATAAACGCGACTTGGAACAGGAAGTAGTATAGACTCGCTGGCACGAACAAGGAAACAGTGAAGACCCTCGGGCGAAAGACGATAGAACACAGCGTAGAGCCGCGACGCGCGGTCTGGGCATTAGCATACAAATGCGATTTCGGAACGATTTAGGACAATGGTGACAGTATTGAATCGCGACTTACTAATTTCGGAAGCGGTAGAATTCGCGGCTTAGGAATCAGAAAAACAATAGACCGCGGAGCCGGCACATTGAAACAGCATAGCGCAGCTGCTTAGGAACGCGGAGAAATTGTGGAACCGCGACGTGGGGATAATGGAACAGTATGGACGCGCGGCTTAGGAATGAGGCGGGAATACAGGATCGCGACCCGGCGCTCCGGAAACTGTATCGGACTCCGGCACGGGAGTACGGGAACAGTATGATATCTTTATATTTGGGTAGGGAACAATATAGAAGCGCCGCGCAGGAAAATACAAATGGAGCATCGCGATTGAAGAATCAGGAAACCGTGGAATCGCAGCTCCTGAATAAGGCAGCGCGGTAGAAAAGCGAGTGACGAATAAAGAAATTTGGTCGCCCCCCCTTTGATCATACCTCTCTCCGATTATATGTTTATTCCTCGTGCTCCTCTTTCTTCTATCTCCTCTCCCTTTCTTCCTCCTCCCCCTCCTGCTCCTGCTCCTCCTCTCCTTCATTCCCCTCCTCCTTCTCTTCCTCTGCAGCAGAACAAAACAAATGCCAGGCAGCGCTTGGCGCCGTCAGAGCTAGGAAACACTGTTGTTGTTTCGTTGTTTTTGTGTGTGTGTCTGTGTGAAGCCACGAAACAGTGTATTGATTGTGTTTGGTTTAGGAAGTCCCAATGCTCGCCGCGGCCCCCCTCTCGGCAATTCTTTCTGGATGTGCAAATCCAAGAAAGCAGTAGTTCGCGCCCTTGGTGCAAGGAAGCGCTCTTTGTTTTTTGTTGTTTGGGTATTTGGTTTGTGAAACCCTAAACATTTTTTGTTGTTGAAAGCCCCAGTGTTCGCCGATGCGGGAACGTGGAGAGGGTGGAGGAGGACGAGGAGGAGGGGGACATTGAAATGAGGCTCTGAGTTATGGTCCATGTGTGAAAGTCTTGTATGTGTATAGCGATTTGTGATCAATGGGTGGGAAATTCTCGTATGTGTATAGCGATTTCGCGGCGCGCCTTTCGGGGACCTTTGGAAAACAGTTTTGAAGCCGCCGGGGGGGCGAGGTGGGCAAGGGCGGCGAGGAGGAGGAGGGGGGGCGCGCGGAGGAAATGAAAGACGGGGGGAAAATCATCGACGAGGATGAGGATGAGGCGAAGGAGGAAGAGGAAGAATGGGCGAGGGGCTTCTCGCGGGACTTTTGGAGGCAGTTTCGAAACCTCTTGGGGGCCGTTTTGGGGCCGTTTGGGGCCCTCTTGGGGGCCTTTTGGGGCTTCTTGGAGGCGTCTTGGGTGCCTCCTGGGGCCTCTTGGGGCCTTCTGGGGCCGCCTTGGGGCGGAAGGTTCGGATTGTCGGTTCAAGCTCCCCCTCTTGGGCCCCTCGTGGGGCCGTCTTGGGACCCTCTTGGGCAGTTTTGGGGGCCTATTGGGCCGTCTTGGCGCCCTCTGGGGCCGACTTGGGCGCCTCTTGGGGGCCTCTTGGGCCGTCTTGGAGCGTTCCCGGGGTGCTCTTGGACGGTCTTCAACGCCGTGGAGGCCGACAAGTCGTATATGATCAAAATGCACGTTTTCCCATAGCAATTTCACAATTTTCAGCTCGCCGCTTGGGCCGTCTTGGAGGTCTCTTGGCTCGTCATGGGACCATTTTGGGCGTCTTGGAGCGCTCGTGTGGCGTCTCGGGGCCCTCGTGGACCGTCTTGGAG